TATGGATGACACATACACATCATTCATCTACTCTTGGTCGGGCCCCAGGTCCAATATATGAACCCATTGCGGCCCTCAAGTCAAAAAGTTTGCCCACCCCTGTCCTAACCTTTGGGAGCTGCTAACACCTAATCCATATACCATGTGACAAGTGTAAATCAGAAATGCAATGGTGCAGCGCTGACGTAATAATAAAATTAAATTATAAACAATAAATGTGAAAATAAACCTGAACCTTATCCTCAGTGGGATCTTTATTGGTTGGCACGCACATCCACCTTATCACCTGCACGTTTGGAAAAGTCATTGGATCACTTGGCGTTTATACACCTTTGAACTTTTTACATACGTGTTTCCTATTTATTTAGTGTTTTATTATACATTTTTTTTCTGACGCTTTTTTTTATTTTTTTGTGCGTTTTTTTCATATCTTGCATTTTTGGGCACATTTTTGGAGTTTGGATTTCTAAAAATATTTTTTATTTTTATGTTTTGTTTTTTTATATACGGTTGTGTTCAAAATAATAGCAGTGTGTTGAAAAAAGTGAATAAAGCTGAAAATCCTTCTGATAGCTTTTATTTCCATCCACACAAATGCATTGGGAACACGACACATTCTATTCCAAATCACAACATGAAGAAAAATACATTAAATTTGTGTTGTTCCTCTAAAATAATGGAAGAAAAGTGAATATTAGACGGTTCAAGAAAATAGCAGTGTTTGTATTCTTCTTTACAAACTCAAACATTCACTATATAAACTGAGAAATGTTTGAAGATTTTGCTTTCCTTTGAATGACTTCATGAATATTTGGTTGTAGTCGCACTGTTTCTGAGAACTGCTGTACATCTGTGTTGCATGGAGTCACCCAACTTCTGGCCCCTGTGATCAGGTATTCCAGCCCAGGATGATTGGACCACATTCCACAGTTCTTCTCTATTTCTTGGTTTTGCCTCAGAAATGGCATTTTTGATGTCACCCCACAAGTTTTCTATTGGATGAAGATCCGGGGATTGGGCTGGCCACTCCGTAACGTCAATCTTGTTGGTCTGGAACCAAGATGTTGCACGTTTACTGGTGTGTTTGGGGTCGTTGTCTTGTTGGAACCCCCATTTCAAGGGCATTTCCTCTTCAGCATAAGGCAGCATGACCTCTTCAAGTATTCTGATGTATTCAAACTGATCCATGATCCCTGGTATGCGATAAATAGGCCCAACACCGTAGTATGAGAAACATCCCCATATCATGATGCTTGCACCACCATGCTTCACGGTCCTCACAGTGTACTGTGGCTTGAATTCAGTGTTTGGGGGTCGTCTGACAAACTGTCTCTGGCCACTAGACCCAAAAAGAACAATCTTACTTCCATCAGTCCACAAAATGTTGCGCCATTTCTCTTTAGGCCGGTCAATGTGCTCTTTGGCAGATTGTAACCTCTTCAGCACACGTCTTTTTTTCAACAGTGGGACTTTGCGGGGACTTCTTGCAGATAGCTTGGCTTCACATAGGCACACATTGGCAACTGTTACTTGTGGTAACAGTTTGAGGAAGGCCATTTTCTGGTCCAGCATGACTGGGCCCCTGTGTACAAAACCAGCTCCATAAGGACATGGATTGACAATTTTGTGTTCAATATTAGTTTATTGAAAAAAAAATTTTTTATTTCAATATACAAAATATCAGAAGTTACAGGACATCCCCAATCTGAGGAAAGGGAAGCATAACAATAAGGTAAACTAGATACCAACTGGGTAGTGCAAAAAGAATTCGGAAACATGAAAAACATAAAATAAGAAACACGAGAAAGAATATATAAATATATTAGCAAACACACCATACATCAATGCAGTTGTAAGTGGCTGGAGCCATAATGATTGATACCTGTAGCACTTGTACCAGGGTGGAGAGGTTGCATAAAGGACAGAGAGAATCAAGATGACTACTTGCCTTGAGTACAAAGTACAGTCCCAGCCCTTCAAAACCACCGTTGTCTGTAGAATATTCCCTCTTGGTAGCATTGAATCAGCCAAAGCCCCAGTAATGGTAGAAAAGGCAAAAAAATGAAAAGTTGAAGAGGACTATGTGAGTGGAGAAGAAGTAAGCAAGAAAGAACCAGTATGGATTGACAGGTTTGATGTGGCAGAACTCGAGTGACCTGCACAGAGTCCTGACCTCAACACTACTGAACACCTTTGGGATGAATTGGAAAGCCAGGCCTTCTCATCCATCATCAATACTCTTTTGGCTAAGTAGGAACACATTTCCAACACACTCCAAAAATCTTTTTGAAAAGCCTTCTCAGAAGAGTGGAGGATGTTATGTCTGCAAAAGGAAGGGGGTTGGGGGGGGCAGCTCCATATTAATGCCCATGGTTTTGGAGTGGGACGTCCAACAAGCCTACGTATATAGGTGTGATAGTCAATGTCCACAAATATTTGTCTATATAGTGCAACTATTGATATTGTCCTGTGTCTACTGTTGGTCAACTATGGCCGCCTTCATATTTCTCTTAGCAAAGGCTCCCATAAAATACAGCGGGTATAGAAAAGAATTGTCCCCCTTTTAAAATAATCACATTTTATTATTTTGCAGCCTGAAATGAAGACAGACACAGTTTTTGTTTTTTTATCCAGCTGCATTTATTCAGTACAACCTATAACATCCAAGTGAAAGATATAACACCAAATATGAAAAACGGAATCACTGAGGTGGAAAAAGGATCACCCCCTCCTAAAAATGACTTGTAAACTCAATCAGGTGTAGCTAATCACCTTCTTAATGGCACACAAAGCCACTTAACTGTCAACTGTGATCAGCTGTCGTCATTTTGATTAGCTCAACATGAAAAGAGCTTTCCTGGAGCATTTCAGTCCCCGGTAGTGCAACTGAAGCAAACAATCAACTATGGGTGTCAATCCTGTCACAACCTATGGTAGTGAGCTCTATAGGTCCACAGCTTGGGGTTCCCCAGGGTGCGGAGTCTAAGCCCCAGCCTGCTTGTTCACCAGGGCCCCTGATGGTGGGGATGGACTTGCAGCAGGCAGGGATCAGGTCGCGGCCCCCAGGTACACCCAGCTGAGGTGGAGGAGACCGCTAGCAGGAGCAGGGTACAACGGGAGAAGACACAGGGAATCCAATGGGCAAGCCGAGGACAGGACAGGTGGAAACAAGCAGGGTCAGGAACAAAGCCGGGGTCGGTACACAGATAGACAACACAGAATTCACAGAGGAAACACACGGGAGCTCCAACAACACGAAGTTGCTCAGGCAAAGTGAGACAGACTGAGCATGTCTTAAATAGACAAGCCAGCTAGGAGGTGGCCCAGGAAGTGATGAAAGGGGAGGACATGAAACCCAGGGAATAGCAGACGATGCCCATAGGTGAGCACAGACAAACACACATGTGAAGGAAACAAGAGCAGCAAGGAGGTAAGAGTAGACACACAAGAGGCTGCAAGCTAACTTGTGACAAAGGCACTGCCAAAAAATCTCCGGGATAAAGTTGTGGACGGGCACAACTCAGGAGAGTGATACAAAAACATTTCAAAGGCTTTATCAATGCCTAGAAGCAGAATGAAGTCTATTAATAAGAAGTGGAAGGTATTTGGTAGAACACAGACCCTCCCTGGATCAGGACGTCGCTCCAAACTGGATGAGAGAGCCAGGAGGAAACTGGTCAGAGAGGAGACCAAGAGGCCTACAGCATTTCTGAAGCCGTGTCAGGAATTGATGACAAAGAGCGATCATTGTGTGCATGTGACACCAATATCACAAATCCTCCACAAATGTGGCTTGTATGGGAGGGGTGCAAGAAAAAAAAAGCTGCTCCCTTAAGAAAGGCCACATGCAATCTCCACTGCGCTTTGCCAAAACACACCTTGAAGATTCTGAGGCCGCATGGAGAAAGGGGTTCTGGTCAGAGGAGACTAAAACTGAATGATTTGGCCTCAACACTAAACAATATGTCTGGTGTAAATCCAATCCAGCTCACCATCCAAATCCCACCATTCCTACAGTAAAGCATGGAGGGGGGAATATGCAGCAGGGACTGGAGCACTTGTCAAGAAAGAAGGAAAAACGGATGGGACAAAATCCTGTCACATTCTTGAGGAAAATCTGCTGCCCTCTTCCAGAAAGTTGTCAATGGAAAGAAGGTTTGCCTTCCAACATGACTATGACCCAAATCACACTGGAAAAATGACCCCACAATGGTTGGAGGATAAAAAAAGTGAATGTCCTTGCATTGCCTAGTCAGAGCCCAGACCTCAACCCCATTGAAAATCTGTGGAATGACTTGAAGACTGTCGTCCACGAACTGTCCCCATCCAATGTCACTGAACTTGAGCAGTTCTGCAAAGAAGAGCAAAGTCTAGATATGCAAAGTTAGTAGAGACATCCCAACAGACTAAAGGATGGAATTAACCCCTTCCAGACCGGACACTTCTACCCCCTCCTGACCAGGGCAATTTTCACCTTTCAGCGCTATCACACTTTGAATGACAATTGCGCGGTCATGCAACACTGTACCCAAATGAATTTTTTTCCCTTTTTTTTAGACAGATAAAGCTTTATTTTGGTGGTATTTATTCACCGCTGGGATTTTTATTTTTTTTGCTATGTAAATGAAAATGTCAAAAAATTTTGAAAAAAAGTGTTTTTTTTATAAAATTTGCAAATAAATAATATTTCATCATAAATCTTTGCCAAAATTTATTCCGTTATCTTTTTAGTATAAAAAAAAAAAAACAAATTAGTTTATAACCAAAAATTATAATTTTTAAACATTTTTTTTTACATTTTTATTATTTTTTTATATTATTATTTTTTTTTTTTTTTTTTTACATACTGTCACCCTAGAAGTACAGTGTCACCATGGTGACTCTGTACTACTTGTGGGGGATGATGAAGATTTTTTTTTTTTTTTTACACTGATTGCTTTTACACCCATATAGGATGTAAAAGCAATCATTTCTCTTTCTCTCTGTGTGCATTCTTGCAGTCATTGAGAAATACTGTGTGAGCTGTGATTGGTCACACCTTGTCACATGGTACAAGGCTGTTGTGAATAGCCTTGTACCATGTGACCTCTGTGATCATTCACAGATTTCACATATAGTAAGCAATGATGTCACAAGTGACATCTCGCCTACTACTTTGCATGTGATCACTGATTGGCCAATCAGTGATCACATGATCGAGACCTCGTACAGAGGTGCCGTCCGACGATCGGTGTTTCACTGTGTCCGGAGGACACAGCGGGCACCGGATCGCGGTGCAGCGCGCTCCCAGGGAGCGCGGACAAGCAGGGTGCGGGGAGGCCGTTTATAAACGGCCACCCGACCCTGCAGTGCCACCATCCGGCCGTTTATATGCAACGGCCGGTCGGGAAGTGGTTAAAGCAAAAGGGGGTTCAACGAAATAAGGGGGGATCCTTTTTCCAACTCAGTGAGTCTGTTTTTGAAGCTTATTTTCTTCCGACATGTTGGTGTTCTATCTTTCAGTTAGATGTTATAAGTTGCACTGAGTAAATACAGCTGTATAAAACAAAAACTGTGTCTGTCTTCGTTTTAGGCTGCAAAGCAATAAAATGTGCTGTTTTTAAGGGGGGATGATTCTTTTCTATACCCACTTGCAGCACTAAACTAATATCTGTTCAACAAATAGATTACTATTTTTCGCTCCATAAGACGCACCTGACCATAAGACGCACCTAGGTTTTAGAGGCGAAAAACAAGAAAAAAAATATTCTGAACCAATGGACTGCAGACATAGTACAGGAGATGACCAGAGACTGCGGACATAGTACAGGGAAAATACCAGGGACACAGTACAGATGACAGAGACTGCAGACAGTGCAAATAACCAGAGACTGCAGACAGTGCAGGGAATAACCAGAGACTGCAGACAGTGCAGGGGATGTGACTTCATGAATTTGAGGTACCCGCAAAGTTGTCAATAAAATGGTGCTGCGCATGCGCGAGAGCGGGCTTTGTGATGGCCCGGCGCTTTGGGACCTGTCATGTGTCCCAGAAAACACTGGACCATTCACAAAGCGCAGCGCATGCGCAGTGGGCACCCGGCTGTCACAGAAGCCAGCGCAGGAAGACTGTGCAGCGCTGGAGCGAGGAACAGGTAAGGCCCTGCAGGAGAGAAGAGCTGAGTGGCCGGCCCGGTATTCTGACATGGTGGCGGCGGAAATACCGGACCGGCCGCTTTATATTCGCTCCATAAGACGCACTGACATTTTCCCCCCTTTTTTGGGGGGAAAAAAGTGCGTCTTATGGAGCGCAAAAATACGGTACTTTTTACTAGCTCAATAGTTACACATAAATAATATTGTTATGTCATAAAATGATTTCTGATTTGTAATTCATGTGTAGTGACACAATTAAATGTTATTGCTTTTTTTGTAGTACGAGATGTAAAAAACAGGCCAGTACTTGAGTACACTGTCCCACCCGGACATCACCCGCCTCCTGTGTCTCGCTGTCTCTCGCACTCCTGATGGGCTCTGCCGCTGGGTGACTGGGGGTAAAGAATTGCTGATATGGGAAGCACTACCAAAAGGAGCTGCAGTAGATGTGTAAGTCGTCCTTTTCTCTCTTCTTTCTGTCTTTATATGTTTTACTTGGAAATATGGTGGCAGGTGTTTTTTTATAGGTATCACATTGAGCATTGAGCCAGCCCTGGCAAAAAGGTTCCTTCCATAACATATAGTTACATAGTTAGTCTGGCTGAAAAATGACAAAAGGCCATCCAGTTCAACCATTAAAAAAAAAAAAGTTATCCTACTCCCACAGTTGATCCAGAGGAAGGCAAAAAAAACAGCAAAGCACGATCCAATTTGCTCCTGCAGGGGAAAAAAAAATTCCTTCCTGTGGCTTACCAGCTCTGTGTGTATCTATGGATGCACACAACCCAGCTCAGGAGTGTGCCTGCACAGATGCCCCCTTAGCACATGGTTTGCTGAGGGGACAGCTGGAGGAAAGAGAACCTGACAATGCCCGCAAGGGACTCCAGAAGAGGAGGCAAAGGCCTCTCTGTGCAATATCGTTGCACAGAGCAGATAAGCATAGTTACATACTTAGTCTGGTTGAAAAAAGACAAAAGTCCATCCAGTTCAACCATTAAAAAAAAAAAGTTCTAATCCTATATCCACAGTTGATCCAGAGGAAGGCAAAAAAAACCCAGCAAAGCACGATCCAATTTGCTCCTGCTGGGGAAAAAAATTCCTTCCTGATCCCCCGAGAGGCAATCGGATATTCCTGGATCAACTTTCCCTATAAATGTTATATCCAGTTATATTCTGTGTATCCAAGAAAGAATCCAGGACTTTCCTACAGCAATCCACTGAGCTGGACACAACCAACTCTGGAGGGAGTCTATTCCACATTCTCACAGCTCTTACTGTGAAGAAACCTTTCCGTGTTTGGAGATTACATTTCTTTTCCTCCAGACGTAAAGACGAATAGGTAAATACTTGTCGACAGACAGTACTTGCAGTACATTTTTAGTACATCGTTAAGAAGTGCAGAACAAAAATACCGTATCCTGCTCCCTCAAATCATTCTTCTGTAGTATAATTAAAAAAAAAAAAAAAAAAAAGCTCACTGGTCGGTGTTACTTCATAGCAATGGTGAGCTCTCTGCCTGTCATGCCGGTCCCAGGGGCCGGAGGAGGTTTTATATGGATGGTGTATCTGATTAGGTAAAAATTATTTATGGAGACAAAGTGAATGTTTACACAACTATAGGTATATATTGTATTATTATTTCAGGTACTTATATAGCGCCATCAATGTACGCAGCACTTTACATATATATTGTACATTCACATCAGTCCCTAACCCTCAAGGGGCGTACAATCTAAGGTCCCTAACTACAATCATCCCTAACCCTCAAGGGGCGTACAGTCTAAGGTCCCTAACTCACATTCATACATACACATACTAGGGACAATTTAGACAGGAGACAATTCACTTACCAGCATGTCTTTGGAGTGTGGGAGGAAACCGGAGAAAACCCACGCAGGCACAGGGAGAACATGAAAACTCCAGGCAGGTGGTGCCATGGCTGGGACTCGAACCAACGACCCGAGTACTGCCCAGTGGAAGTGCTAGCCATTTAGCCGCTGTGCTGCCTTCTTAACCGCAAGTATCAGTACTCGTACTCGCTGATCAAAAAAGGGTATCAGATCATCCTTAGTTGAGATCCAACGCTCTGTCCCTTTCTTGTAGGCCGCTCTTCGTCCAATGACATCGGTGTCCATGGTATGCAGACTCTCATCAGCCTTCTTGAGTGCTGTTATCCCGCTGCTGCCAACCAGTTTGTGATGAACTAGGACCAAAGAGAGAAAGCACACCCAGGCAGATCACACAAAACCTAATGTTTATAGGGAGGTTTGGGTGTACAGAAGCGGTGGCATTGGAATAAGCAGTTCGGGAGTACCTGGAGGAAACCCACGCAGGCACAGGGAGAACATGAAAACACCAGGCAGGTGGTGCCGTGGTTGGGATTCGAACCAACGACCTGAGTACTGCCAGGTGGAAGTGCTCACCATTTAGCCACTGTGCTGCCTACTTGACCAAAAGTATCAGTACTCGTACTCACTGATCAAAAAAGGGTATCAGTGCATCCAACGCTCTGTCCCTTTCTTGTAGGCCGCTCTTCGTCCAATGACATCGGTGTCCATGGTATGCAGACTCTCATCAGCCATCTTGAGTGCTGTTATCCGCTGCTGCCAACCAGCTTCTGATGAACTAGGACCAAAGAGAGAAAGCACACCCAGGCAGATCACACAAAACCTAATGTTTATAGGGAGGTTTGGCTGTGCAGAAGCGGTGGCATTGGAATAAGCAGTTCCGGAGTACCTGGAGGAAACCCACGCAGGCACAGGGAGAACATGAAAACTCCAGGCAGGTGGTGCCGTGGTCGGGATTCAAACCAGCGACCCGAGTACTGCCAAGCGGAAGTGCTATTGTACTTTACATCTGTGGATTAACACATGTACAACCACCTTGCATGGGCTGCTTTTGTTTTCCTAACTGAACATTATTTTCTGTTTTTTATGATTTTATTTTTTTTTGTCTTATTGTAGCTCTGCAATTCCGGTCCAGTTTTGTGCAGATTTCCTGCATCCTGCTTCAGAAAGCGAATCAGAGGAGGATGAAGGTAAGCCTAAGGAAGTCATCGGGGTGGAGTAAAATATCTCCTCAGAGGTTCAGATGGTTATCTATATGCATTGATCTCCCATGTATCTAGTTTTGATTAGCTACTGAAATTTGCTGGACAAACCTGTGAAGGAGTGGGCAGGAGGAATAGATTCTGTACTTGTTTCCATTGTTGTACAAAGTTTCAGTGTATCTGGCAAATGATTAGATTTAGAGTGAACCAGTGGCCAGACTACAGGACACAAGTCTTTCCATATTCCTAAAGATGAATTCCAAGAATAGTGTCTTTTTTTCACATCGTTACGTTGGTCCAGCTTGGACCAATGTAACGATGTACAGTTGTGTTCAAAATAATAGCAGCGTGTTGAAAAAAGTGAATAAAGCTCAAAATCCTTCTAATAGCTTTTATTTCCATCCACACAAATGCATTGGGAACACGACACATTCTATTCCAAATCACAACATGAAGAAAAATAGATCAAATTTGTGTTGTTCCTCTAAAAAAATGGAAGAAAAGTGAATATTAGACGGTTCAAAAAAATGGCAGTGTTTGTATTCTTCTTTACAAAGTCAAACATTCACTATATAAACTGAGAAATGTTTGAAGATTTTGCTTTCCTTTGAATGACTTCATGAATATTTGGTTGTAGTCGCACTGTTTCTGAGAACTGCTGTACATCTGTGTTGCATGGAGTCACCCAACTTCTGGCCCCTGTGATCAGGTATTCCAGCCCAGGATGATTGGACCACATTCCACAGTTCTTCTCGATTTCTTGGTTTTGCCTCAGAAACTGCATTTTTGATGTCACCCCACAAGTTTTCTATTGGATGAAGATCCGGGGATTGGGCTGGCCACTCCATAACGTCCATCTTGTTGGTCTGGAACCAAGATGTTGCACGTTTACTGGTGTGTTTGGGGTCGTTGTCTTGTTGG